AGTAGAATTTATGGGTTGGTTTTCTGTTGTTTGGAAGTTTTCCTCTTCCTTTATTCATATTAGCATGGACTCACACATTATTCAGTGAATCAGTCTTTTTATTTTTTGTATTTTTAGGGAAGGGTCTACAGAGTGTCAGGGTCTCATTACTAGATTGGACTTGTAGTGATCCACCTGTTTACAGCCTCCCAAGAGCTGGGATTACAGGTGTACACCACCACGCCCAGTCTCACTAGCCGTCTCAGCATGCTTGGGTGGCTGGGCCGGCACAGCAGGCCTGGGGATTGAACTCCTGGCCCTTGCAGCTGCTTGGAGGTGCTTTTAATTCACTGAGCTATTTGGCAGGCCCTCAGTGAATCATAGTCTTAATTTGTACAAAGTCTTCTAAAGTTACTGGTTGGTAGTCTTATAAAAGAAACAGGTTTAGAGTAGCTAAGATGATCAAGTGCCATGGCTTTTGGTTCTGCTGTCATCTTTACATCTTGTAAAATGTTCTACTTTCTAATTATAAAATCTCTAAATATTTCTGTAATTCTGTAATATCAGAGGGTATAGTTGAGAAGGTAGATACTGAGATGAATGCTGTACTCCTAGCTATAGGAGGCTAAAATGAATTCAGGACCAGCCTGGGTTATGTAGTAAAACCACAAGGGACAACAACAAAAACCTGGGTATGGTGGTACATGCCTTAATCCTAGCAGTGTGGAGGATTGAGGCAGAAAGATTAAGTTTGAGCTCAACCTAGGCAACTGAGAACTCAAAATTGAACTAGCTCAGTATAAAGATCCAGGGTTCAATACTTAATATGATGCAGGCCACCCCCTTCCCCCTAAGATCAGTTTAGTAAGAAAAAGCCTGTTGCTGGGGAAAGCACTCTATAGCTTGAGCTAAACCCACAGCCCCAGTCTACTATAATTTGTGAAACTACAGTTAGTAAAACAATTTTTTAAACTTTTATTTATTTTTTGAATAAATGGAAACTAAGTTCAGGAACAACAAAAATGACCCATACATAATGGGTTATTACCAATATTTAAAGATAATGTCTCAGTTAATGTTTTGGTGTATGCATTCAGGTTCTGTTTTCCTTACAGTTTTGCTACAGATAGTTTTGAAATCACTTTACAGTGTATATTGTGAACATTTCCCATAAACTTCTGCAACATTTCCCCCATTTAAAGAAATGTGAATTTTCAGATACTCAAAAAAGTTAAAAGATGGTGTGAATGTTCACCCACATTCAACAGTTATAGGCAGCTTTTCGTAATTTTTTTTCTTTTAAAGTGGGATTTTTCTGTATTACTCAAGCACTTTTGGACTGTTAGGCTTGTTATCCTGCTTCAGCCTCTGAAATACCTAGGGCTATAAGTGCGTTTGCCACCTTTCCTGGCTTTAATAATTCTTTGATCTCTATGCATACAGTTTTACTAAACACAGGTCGCAGACATTTTGACATTTTATCCATATTTTAACATGTATCTCTTAACAATAGTTTTTCTTAAAAGTTTTTTTATTAGTACATGTTTACATTATATGATTACATTTCTTGTAGGATTAGGTATATATGCATCTCGTAACATCTCATTTTGTTTTCTTTTTATTTTGTGCTGGAAATTAAACTCAGGGCCTGGTGCTTGCCAGGCAGGCACTGTGCTACTGAGCTGCATCCCTGGCCCCTCAGTTTCTTTTGCACTCCCCTCCCCATCTCTTGATCAAGCCCTTCTCAGATGAGAAAGCTCTATCTCCCTACTGTTTGTTAACCTGTATTTTACTCATTTATTGTTTTAGAATTCCTACTGTTTGTTAACTTGTATTTTACTCATTTATTGTTTTAGACGCGATCTTGTTCTGTAGTTCAGGCTGGCCTTGAACTGTGAAACCTAGGTTGACCTCAAATTTGTGGTAATCCTCTTGCTTCAGTGTCTTGAGTGCTGGGATTATAGGTGTGTGCTGCCATGCCTAGCTAAATTTTTTTTTTTTTTTTTTTTGGCTGGGGGCAGGGCTGGCACGGCCTGTGGTGCTGGGGATTGAACAGCAGTCCCTGCGTTTTGCCTACACTTGCCCAAGCAGGCACTTTAGATTGCAAAGCTATCATGTCAGCCCATAATTTTTATTTTTTTGAGACAGGGTTTTGCTATGTAGTTAAGCTAAACACAGGTTGCAAACATTTTGACATTTCACCTGTAAATATTTCAACATGTATCTCTTAACAATAGTAATTTTTCTTAAAAACCTTTTTTTCCCCATTAGTACATGTTTACATTATATAATGATTACATTTCTTGTAGGGATTGGGTATATATGCATCTCATAACATCTTTGACCTTGAACTTTGTGCAATCCTCTTGCCTCAGCCTCCCTAGTGTTGGGATTACAGATGTGTATCACTGTATTTGGCCTGTCCATTTTTTATTTTGCTGTTTATATCTTTTATTTTACTCTTTGTATTTTGCAGTTTTTAAGCTCCGTGTCTGATTTATTTCACCTAATATGGTCTCAAGGTTTTTTATTTTTACAAATGTCTCAGTTTATCCTTTATAGCAGAATAGTAGTCTGTTGTGTACAAATGCCATGTTTTCTTAGCCATTCATCTGTTGATGAACATTTAAACTGCTTCCCGGATTTAGCTATTATGAATTATGTTGCTATAAACATGGGTATGCATATGCTGCTATTTTCAACTGTTTGGGGAAAGATACCTAGAATAGTTGGGTCAAATCGAATTCCTGTTTTTTTAGTTTGTGAAGAATTTTCAAGCTGATTTCCATAGAGATGGTCCCACTAACAATGTAGAAGGGTTCCTTTTTGCATGCATCCTTGCCAGCATTTGTTACTGTTTGGTTTCTTGATGACAGAATGTATAAAGGGCTGAAAAAAATTAGATACCCCCCAAATAAGTGACAATTTTAAAAAATGGGCAACTGAAATGAATAGACACTTTTCAGAGGTACAAATAGCAGTAAATACATAAAAATGTTAGTCATTGGGCTGGTGAGATGGCTCAGTGGTCTAAAGCATCTACTTAGAACAAGCTTAGCAAAGCACAGGGACCACGGTTCAATCCCCCAGCACCACATGCCAGCCAGCCCTGCCCCCTGGTGGG